GTGACAAGGGAGCACTCTCAGACCTCTTGTCCAAGGACATTACCACCATCATGAGATCTCCACCCTGATGACTAATCACCTCCCAAAGGACCACCTACTTGACCTTGGGGTTAGGATTTCAACGCATGAATTTTGGGAGAAACACAAACATTCAGACCATAGCAGCTATTTAGATAGCAATGCAGCTATGTAATAAGCATTATTTTCCAAATCACATTTGAATGGTTTATCTGCCATTGGGTCACGAGCTTCTTTAGCAATGGAACCTGGCTTGCCATCTTATGCTCTCACTTCCTTGGCACAAATATGGTGGGTGATCTTCCCACACAGTAACCTCTCCAGGTATAATTGGTTTGGCACGAAAGGATGTATCCTACTGATCACCATACCTGTTTTTTTTTTTTTTTTTTTTTGAGTGGGGGTTTCACTCTGTCACCAGGTTGGAGTGCAGGGGCATGATCATGGCTCACTGCAGCCTTGACTTCCCAGGCTCAGGTGATCATTTCACCTCAGCCTATTAAGTAGCTAAGACTATAGGCGTGCGCCACCACACACAGTTTTGTTTTTTTTTGTTGTTTTTTTTTAGAGACGAGGTCTTGGCTATGTTTGCCCAGGCTGCACTGTACTTATTTATCAAAGCTTTCAAACTGGCCCAAGATTTGATCAAAGGTAGAAATGGACAAAATGATGACCCATCTGTGCATTCTAGGATTCAGCCTTTCCCTGTGGCTTTTTTAAAAATCTGCATAATTTTCTATTGTTCATACATTTGAGAGAAATGGGGCATAGATCCAGCCCTGCAGTGTCCATTTCATTCCTCCTGTTCTCTCAAAGATGATCTACGCATAATTATACTCCTCGTTTAATTGTCAACTGCCAGAAGCTGTAATCTACCTGGCCCTGGTCTCTCGGCTCTTCTGAGGAAATGAAGGTTCTTTCACTAATTCCTGGCTGCTTGTTCATCTTTACAGGCAGGGAAGCTGGGTGCAAGGCAGGAATGGGACTGTTCTGCATCCTTTTTTTTTCAAATGAATGCATTTATTTTTATTTCAGAGCTGTGGGGTACATGTGAGGATTTGCTACAGAAGTAAATCTCGTGCAGGTGAGGTTTGGGCTTCCAGCCAGTTTTGCATTCTTTGCATCTGGTTAACAGTTTTCTCGCCTTGTTTGCAGCGTCCCGAGCTCCTCCTTCTTCCCAGCATTTGCAGAGTCTTCCACACTCCTCTGTGCCTTTGAAAACAGCCTTTTGTTCACTGACAAGAAGAATCTGCAGCCTCATCAGCTCCAAACCAACCTCCCACCACCCTCTGGGCAAAGCCCTACTCAGAAGGGGGACGGGAAAAAGAGGGGCGGAGGGGGGCTGGGGATGATTGTGCCTGGTGGAGACAGGCAGGGGGACAGTACATGAAGTTCGGAATGGAGCAATGGGCCTGCTGGGGCTGCCCTGGCCGCCTGGCTGGGTGACCTTGGGCCTATCTAGGCCTGTGACCTCACAGTACGAAGGAGCAAGGCTAGAGGCTGCTATGTCTTTTCTAGCTTTAAACACTCCGACCTTAAGCATCTAGACAGTAAACAAAACTGGACTGACACTTGTCTCTACATAGTGAAATATTTGGAGATTTTCTTTCTTCCTCTCCATTTTGCTAATAGTCTTTATAAGATTACAGAGCTGCATTTGTTTTGTGCGTATTTACAAACACAAAGAGACTGTGATTCTAAAAAGAAAATAGAAAGGTTTTTTTAAGCTAGGAGAATGAAATAAATTTAGAAAAGAAAGACAGAGGAGAAAGAAAGGCCCCTCTGAAGGCCCGAACCCATCTAGAGTTTTAGAAGCTCCTGCAGGGACTGCTTGGCCGCGGGGGTTTCCCACTTCCAGGCTGCAAAGTCTTCGTAAGTTCTCTGGCGCCATCTGCTGGTCAGCTCAGAAGCAACAGCTTAATTTGGTTTTTAAAAGGGGCTCTTGAAGCAAATCAGGGGTGAACGCTGATGGCGTCACATTCAGGATAAAATCACATTCTATTTACACGCAAGTCTTGCCCCATACTCACCTCCAGAATTCATTTTTTCTTTTGCCTTGCAGTAATGACTGCAACAGGGTCAACTGAGCAGGTCCCTTCTGTCTCCCAATAACTACGAGCCTCATGTCATGAAAAACCCAGTTAGGAGTCTCCAGCCTTCCTTCCCCATGGCACTTGGAAGCCATGGAGAGGAGAAGTCACTCTGAAGAACCCACTTTCAGCTCCACCATCTTTGAATGGGGTTGGTTACTTCTCAATGCGTCCCTGCTTCCGGGATTTCCACAGATCTTTAAGTCACTGGCCTGGGCTAATTTAGTCCTTCAAGCATTCCCACGTCATATCAAGCAGCCCAAAGTGCTGGGAAGTCCTCTTATTTGTCCTTCCACCTGCATTCGTCCTGCTTTCCCACTACTCCATGGAAGTGTGACTCCTCACTCCCTATAGGTCCCGCCTTCAGGGCATGGTGGTCCTGATGAAACTCACCTGCTTTCCAAGGTGCCCCTCCCCACAGAGGCTGTCCAGGTCAGACCCCTCTGCTGCCTGAGGCAGGTCTCTAGGTGCAGGGCAGTAAGATTTGTGGAAGCCCCTCCATCCTAAGTATTAATGGGGGCAGGTATTTTCCTGATAACACTTCTAATTCCAATTCTAAAAGGCACGTCTCAAGTCTTTCTGGACTTCAAGAAGATCATCACATGGTTTCTATTAGTAAAGAGTGATGACAAGAGCCATCCTTTCCAGGATGAAGTAGTGGCCCAGGAACCCCTGATTGGTCCCGCTGTGGAGGGAAGGGTGGCCATATTTGGAGAGCTGCAGGAATGCCCCCTCCCCCAGCAGCTCCTATATAGCTGGACAGGCCTGGCTGCCAAGAGGGTGTGCTGGAAGACTGTGCATTGCGAGGCTCCAGAGGCAAACTCCCAGGGAGAGCCCAAGGTATGTGGGGAGGCACTTCTGCGGTCAGGGCTACTGGGCTCTAGCCAGGTCTCCACCACAGGTGGAAAATCATGCGATGATTTCTTTATGCCACATCCCGGGATGGTCCCAAGGGAGGGGGGACTTGAGAGGAGGGTCAGTCATCACTGGTCTTGCATTTCTATATGTGGGTGCTACAATAAAATGCTTCTTGAGGGTTGGCTGGGTGGGATTTTGTTTTGCTTTTAAGTCTTTGCCTATGAAAACTAATTTCTTTCCCAAGAATGCTGTGCTTTCTTTTTTAATTTGACTTACCTGCAATGATCTATTATGTTCTTATTCTTGTTTAAGATTTCTCATACCAAGAGGTATGAGCTGATGACATGGGTGTTGCCTTTATTTCGGAGGCTAGTGAATGTTTGCTTCATGCTTGGGTCTTTTTGGAAACAGCCAGTCTGTGTTCGCTGTACTTAGGGGGGTGAAAAGGGGGACTCTGGGGGCCTGGAGGCTCATCCCCGCTATGGGACAAAGACCAGGCAATACCCACAAGCAAGGAAAGGTCACTGAGGCCTCTCTGCAAGATTTTGGAGATGACTGAATGTGCTCTTAGGCTATGTTTTGCCTTTAAAATACACACACATACACACACACATAATAACCAGTGTCACATCAGAGGTGAACATTTTAACAGAGGGACATTAGACACTTTTAGGATTGCTGCAGGGGGACGGTGGAGGGCATTAGCGGCTAAACAAGCTAGCTCTTAACCTCCTACAGCTCTGGCACTTCTGACCCACAGGAACTTGACCTAGGAGACAGCTTAGGCACACTCCGCTATGGGAACTTTTTCTGGATCCCTGGTCCACACGGATTTGGCCCAGGTACAGGCATACTCTGAGAGCTGGCCTTGGGGGGTGGGTTCCCCAACAGCTATTGTCACGTCAGGAGCCAGACGCGACAGGTTAGCTGGAAGGGATGGGAGGGGGGCTTTCCCAGGGCATCAACAGCAGCAGCCATCACAAACTTGACCCAGGACCCTCTTGGTGTCCTCACAGGCCCTCCTGTCCTCCCCTTCATCTCACTTTCTCAAACATTCCTCAAGGGCCTTTGCTCTTTGCTCTTTCACTCAGCTTAGGAGCCATCACGCCCAGTGAGTCAAAGCACAAAGCGTGAGCATCATCCCTCCTGAAACCCCGCTGGACAGTGGCATCGTTAGTGGGCACAAGGGCCACGGCCTCAGACAGAGCTGAATTCAAATCTGCCACCTCTGACTTTGCAGCCTGGGGCAAATTTCTTAACTTCTCTGAATCCCAAGGCAACATTTATAAAATGAGGATAACTTTCCCAAGGCGAGAATTAAGTTAGACTGTGCCAGAGAAGGGCTTATCACAGTGGCTGGCATATAGTAAGTGTGCAATAAAAAAGCTAGGATGAGCAGGGAGTCACCCTCTCCTCTAGAAGTGACAATAGAAAGGTTGCCTAGGGCACAGCTTGACCCCTTGACATGGGAAGGCAGGGGTCCATCACTCCTTTCCATCTTTCTTCCCCTTCCCTCGCTCTTGACCGCAAAGCCCTTAGGTCAGCACCCAGTGACTCTCTTAGGACAGGTGGCAGAATGTGCCCGAGACAGTGCCAGTTTAGAGCAATAGATCATAAAGAGGGAAGATTCAAAACATGGCCTGTGCCCACAAGCACCTGATTCCAACGCTTCTACTGTGTATTCTTCCCAGGGACGCTTGATTTAAAAGACCTGGGAGTCCCGAGGAAACCCACGCATATCATTACCTATTTATCTTTTTGCATGCGTCTTCAAAGGCTTTCTAACCGCAGCTGCAGCTTCTTCTCTGTCTGAGACAGCCAGGATCAGGCCCCCAGTGAACCCAGTCCCAAGCAGTAGCAAAAAGACTCGCCGCTCGGGTTAACCCCGTACAGTCCGAGCACGGGGAGAGACTCTGCTTTTGAGAAAACGTACATGGTGCAAGGCGGGGGGCCTGGGAGCGGGGCGGAGTCGGGGGAGGAAGCGGACAGGGACCGGACTCCGACCGCGGGCCGTTCCTCCCGCAGATCCCGACCATGAGGAAGCCCCTGGGCGGATGGAGACTGGCCGTCGTGTGTGTCCTGCTCCTCGGCCTCCTGTCCGCGGCCCGAGCGAGGGGCATCAAGCACAGGTTCAAGTGGAACCGGAAGGCCTCGCCGAGCGCCGCGCGGGTGACCGAGGCCCGCGTGGCCGAGAGCCGCCCGGGCGCCTTCATCCGGCGGGGCCGAAAGCTGGACATCGACTTCGGGGCCGAGGGCAACAAGTACTACGAGGCCAACTACTGGCAGTTCCCCGACGGCATCCACTACGACGGCTGCTCCAAGGCCAACGTCACCAAGGAGCTGCTGGTCGCCGGCTGCATCAACGCCACCCACGCGGCCAACGCGGCCGAGCGCCCCCGGGAGGCGCGGGACGACCCGCTGCACCAGCGCGTGCTGGGCCGCCTGGTCCGCGAGCTCTGCTCCGCCAAGCACTGCGACTTCTGGCCGGAGCGGGCGGCGGCCCCC